AGGTGCAGGTGCCGCCGCCTCCCGCCTGACGTTCCTGGGGAGACCCTGCACCGCTCCTGCCGCCGCGGCCATGTCTGGGCCCGGCAACAAACGCGCCGCCGGCGACGGGGGCTCGGGGCCCCCAGAGAAGTTGAGCCGCGAGGAGAAGACCACGACCACGCTTATAGAACCCATTCGTCTGGGGGGCATCTCTTCTACGGTTCGTTCCCGCCCTCAACTCTGTTCTCCCAACTCTTCTCCGCTCAAATCGCCCGGAACCTTATTCCCAGTTCCCCACATTTAGCAGGATCCACTTTACAGAATTCTGTTGAGAGAAACCGAGAGCGAGACGTCTGCTCTCCCTTCCAGATAGGAAAACTGGCTGCTAGAAGGGTTCGGAGGAGACAGAAGCGGCCCCTCCTCCACCAAGGCGCCCTGTGGGTGTCCGCGCCCCTGTAAATCCTGTTAGTGTGGGGCTCCCCCTCCCACCCATTGCGTTTGCTGTCCTCTGTCTGTCTCTGATTGATGTCTTGGGCCCGCTTTCCTTGGCAGGAGGAGATGGACCTGAAGGTTTTGCAGTTCAAGAATAAGAAGCTAGCGGAGCGGTTGGAGCAGCGACAGGCTTGTGAGGATGAGCTCCGGGAGCGCATCGAGAAGCTGGAGAAGCGGCAGGCCACCGACGACGCCACGCTCCTCATCGTCAATCGCTACTGGGCCCAGGTGGATGCCCCTCTGCCCTCCAGACTGGCCTTGATCCAGTTGCCATTCTCAGACTCCTGCTGGGAAGCAGTGTTACCAGGGAAGTACCTGGGGAATTCATAACATTTTTGGTGCTTTCTCCCTTCAGCTGGATGAAACTGTGGAGACTCTTCTTCGACACCATGAGAACCAGGGGGAGCTGTCTGCAGGGACAGAGGCGCCTGGACCCCAGGAGGGGGCGCCCCGTGATGAGACCCCTCTCACAGAGCCAGGGACGGCAGAGCTGAGGGGTAGGGCCAGAGCCCGAGGACCTGGGAAAGGTCCTGGAGAGGAAGGGCCTTTGGATATTAGGCTCCTGGAGTCCCTACCTCCCCTCCCACATGGGCACATAGAATTGATTTCATATTTGGGCTGCTAGTACAATGGGTCAAAATACAGGCTTTGGAATCTGAGTGACTTGGTTCATAGTGCATTTTATGTTTTGTGATTCATTTAGTTAAAAGTGTTGATATTGAGTGTTGACTGTGTATCTGGCACTGATCTAGACTTGCAGGAGACATAGATAAGCAAAAAGAAATACTACCTCTGCCATCAGAGAGGAAGTGATTGTAAATCATAAGTTAAAAGTGTAGGGGTCCCTGAACAGGAATTAGTGTGTGTGCACTTGTGCGTGGTTTATTTTATTTATTGATTTTAGGGAGAGAGAGAACATCATAGATTTGTTGTTCCACTTTTTTATGCATTCGTTGGTTGATTCTTGTATGTGCTCTGACCAGGGATCAAACCCACAACCTGATGCTCTAACCAACCGAGTGACCCAGCCAGGGCCTGGTGTGGGTTCTAATTTAGTTTGAGAAGGCTTCCCTGCAGAAACAATTGGGAGCATTGTGGCCTTGGGAGAATTACCTCTTGAGTCCCTGTTGTTTTGATTTCAAGATGGGGATAACAGTGCACTATAGGTGTCGTTGTGTTGACTCAGTGAGCTGAAGAGTGTTGAATGGCTCAGTCTGGGACTTGGTTCAGAGTTGTAACTGCTGCAATTATCCTCATTAGTGTCTCCATCCCTCCTAGAGACCCTGCCCGTGCAGCTGCGGCCCCCACTCAGTGAGCCAGCCTTGGCTTTTGTGGTGGCACTGGGTGCCAGCAGCAATGAGGAGGTGGAGCTGCAGCTACAGGGCCAAATGGAGTTCTCCAAGGCGGCCGTGTCCCGTGTCGTGGAGGCCTCAGACCACCTGCAGCGCCAGGTGGAGGAACTCTGCCAGCGAGTACACAGCGGAGGTTAGTGCTTTGTGTCCCCGCCCCAGAGATCTCCATACCAATTTGCATCTTTATTCTATCCCTTTCTCAATGCCTCTGGCCCAGAGGCAGCCAGAATTTCCCAAGGAATAAATCAGTCATGTTCTCCAGGAGGGGTTAGGTTGTAGGTGGGGGCTCCAACTTTGATTTCTGGAGTTGAACTCTAAAGAGATCAAGAAGAGGAGTTGCGGATTCTAGTGGGGCTAACCCCTTTTGGCGGGATATCTCTTTTGGAGCACTTAGCACAAGACAGAGCAGCCAGTGCCCAGGCTTTGTAGGCAGACGGGCTTCCCCAAGCCTTAGTTGTCACTCTAGCCTTGGCATTCTGGGCAGATGGCTCTCCTCTCTGAGTTGGTTTCCTCCTTTGTGCGGTGGGGGTGAAGACTCTTACCTTTGTCGTGGTGGATCACACTGGGCACAGAGCAGACCCCAGAATGAGTTAGCACTTTTCCCCATTGCCCTGGACTTAACTCTGACCCGAGCCCTGACTTCCCAGGGGATAGTGAGCACCCTGGTGAGGCGGCTCGGGCACGCACCCGGGAGCTGGGGCGTGAGAACCGGCGACTTCAGGACTTGGCCACCCAGCTACAGGAGAAGCACCACCGTATCTCATTGGAGGTGGGCGTTGCATTTTTGGGGGTGGGATTAGACCCAGGGCAGGGTCTAGGTTAGGTGGACACCCAAGGATCTTAGCGAACCAAGTCTCCTCATTTAAGCATCTGCCCTCTTCGTTGTTCTCAGTACTCTGAGCTCCAGGATAAAGTGACTTCAGCAGAGACCAAAGTGCTAGAAATGGAGACGACAGTAGAGGACCTGCAGTGGGACATTGAGAAGCTGCGCAAGCGTGAGCAAAAGCTCAATAAGCACCTGGCGGAGGCCTTGGAGCAGGTGGGGCTAGGGTGCTGTGTCAGATGTAGGGGCTGGGTACCTAGGGCCCTAGGTTCTCTCCTCACACTCATCTGTCTGTCTGTCTGTCTGTCTTTCTCTCCTCTCCACAGCTCAACTCTGGCTACTATGTGTCTGGGAGTTCCTCAGGCTTCCAGGGGGGCCAGATCACACTCAGCATGCAGAAGGTGAGCAGGTATCATTCTTCCCAGTCCCTCCCATAATCTTTTCTCTACCCTTGACATTCCCCACAGAATTATGGTGTCTGAGGTCCTTCCCTATCACTCATGCTGCTCTGTGTTGTATTCATGCACAAATATGTTCAGTAGGTAATTGCTAAACACTAAGTGCTAGGCACTGTGCTGGGAGCAAGCATATTGGAGAACAAAATAGACAAAAACTAAAGCTTTCATGGAGCTTAAGTTCTAGTCGGGAGAACTGACAAGAAGTAAGGAAAATAGTACATCAGGTGGTTATAAGCACCACAGGGAGAAAGTGTAGACAGTAGATAAATGGAAGTGTTGGGGGCGATGGGAATTCTTAGTTGTGTGGCTGAAGAAGAGCCTTGCTGAGACAGTGCATTTAATCACTGTCACTCCTTGTCCTACCTATGCTCTCACCTCCTGGCCGTTGCACACTTTCTTGGTGCTGTGGGGGATCACCGTGCCCTATTCCCGTTCCTTCAGCTTACTCTTCAGGGCTTCCAGGAAGCCTTCTCTCACGCCTTGTCAGTTACAGGCCTTGGTTCCCAGCATTCACCATGCAGTATTGAGTTAACTTCCACTTGCCTGGGAGCTCTTAGGAAAGTGCTTAGGTCTGGCTTGTCTCAGGGGCTCCAGAGTACATCATTGCTACACATAGGAGAGCGTGAGGGGGGCTTATGTGAAGGAAGCGTGCCTCCTGGCCGGGCCCTGACTCACACAGCCTTTCCCATCCCACAGTTTGAGATGCTGAATGCGGAGTTAGAGGAAAACCAGGAATTGGCTAATAACCGCATGACAGAGCTGGAGAAGCTACAGGCTGAACTTCAGGGGGCTGTGCGGACCAATGAGCGCCTCAAGGTGGGCATTCGGGGCCGGGAGGGCCTAAGACTGCAAGGTGGGGGCAGGATCCTTTCACTGATCACTTTTGGGCATCCCTACCTTTAGGTGGCCCTACGTAGTCTTCCTGAAGAAGTGGTACGGGAGACGGGGGAATATCGAATGCTGCAGGCTCAGTTCTCACTGCTTTACAATGAGTCTCTGCAAGTGAAGACCCAGCTGGATGAGGCCCGGGGGCTGCTGCTGGCCACCAAGAACTCCCACCTGAGACACATTGAACACATGGAGGTATGGCCCTGGAACGGGTGGAGGCCGTGGGTAAGTGCCAGACCCTGAGGGTTAAGGCTTTCCTGGGTTAAATCCCTATATGCCTGCCAGGGGTCCCTTGGGAATAAATTCTTAAGCCACTGAGGCCTAAGGCAGGGGGCTTGCCAGGGAGCAGAGGGAATGTGTGGGTGCTTAATGCCTCGACCCGCAGAGCGATGAGTTGGGGCTGCAGAAGAAGCTGCGCACAGAGGTCATCCAGCTGGAGGACACACTGGCCCAGGTACGCAAGGAGTACGAGGGGGGCTTATGTGAAGGAAGCGTGCCTCCTGGCCTGGCCCTGACTCACACAGCCTTTCCCATCCCACAGTTTGAGATGCTGAATGCGGAGTTAGAGGAAAACCAGGAATTGGCTAATAACCGCATGACAGAGCTGGAGAAGCTACAGGCTGAACTTCAGGGGGCTGTGCGGACCAATGAGCGCCTCAAGGTGGGCATTCGGGGCCGGGAGGGCCTAAGACTGCAAGGTGGGGGCAGGATCCTTTCACTGATCACTTTTGGGCATCCCTACCTTTAGGTGGCCCTACGTAGTCTTCCTGAAGAGGTGGTACGGGAGACGGGGGAATATCGAATGCTGCAGGCTCAGTTCTCACTGCTTTACAATGAGTCTCTGCAAGTGAAGACCCAGCTGGATGAGGCCCGGGGGCTGCTGCTGGCCACCAAGAACTCCCACCTGAGACACATTGAACACATGGAGGTATGGCCCTGGAACGGGTGGAGGCCGTGGGTAAGTGCCAGACCCTGAGGGTTAAGGCTTTCCTGGGTTAAATCCCTATATGCCTGCCAGGGGTCCCTTGGGAATAAATTCTTAAGCCACTGAGGCCTAAGGCAGGGGGCTTGCCAGGGAGCAGAGGGAATGTGTGGGTGCTTAATGCCTCGACCCGCAGAGCGATGAGTTGGGGCTGCAGAAGAAGCTGCGCACAGAGGTCATCCAGCTGGAGGACACACTGGCCCAGGTACGCAAGGAGTACGAGATGCTGCGCATCGAGTTTGAACAGAACCTGGCGGCCAACGAGCAGGCGGGTATGTGGTGAGGACGGGGTGGAGGTGGGCCTTATCTGGGATTCCTGGGCCCTAGTGAGGGGCTGCTGCTCATCCAGATGCAAGAGCTTTAACCCTTCCTGTCACAGAGCCTCATCTCCCTGTGGAAAACAGGTACCACACCACCTGGCTCAAAGGCACAGTAAGATTTAACAACCAGCTGAGGTGGTTGATGGAGCAGGCTTAGAACATGAGCTGCCAGCCCCACCTGTGGCTCTCTGGCCTTCAGGTGTCTCAGATAACTCATTTATTTTGGAAAGAGTTATTTAATACCACCTATGGCCAGGCTCTGTTCTAGGCTTTGGGATTAACCAGTGAACAAAACACTGGAGCACTGTCATAATGGGGGAAGGCAGGAATAGAGGAGAAAATGTGGAATACGGATTTTAGATAATGACAAATATGCCAAGAAAAATAAAGCATGGATTGAAGACAGGAAGTATTAGGAGAAAGGGTGTTGCAGTTTTGGATGGGGAGGCCTGAGAAATGTATTACTGAGAAGGTGACGTTTGTTTAAAAATGCAGAAGTAGATTAACTCACTTTTGTGAATTTATTGTTATCTGTTCTTTTGAAGGAAATTTGGAAGTATTTAAAAATGTACATGAGCAGAAATAACACAAAGACAGTGTGAAGTTACTTTTGGGTGAATTTTCTTCAAAGTAAAGTCTCCATTACTTTGATGAGGTCATACTGTAAAGTCTGCATTACTTTGATGAGGTCATACTGTAAAGTCTGCGTTACTTTGATGAGGTCATACTGTAAAGTCTGCATTACTTTGATGAGGTCATACTGTAAAGTCTGCGTTACTTTGATGAGGTCATACTGTAAAGTCTGCATTACTTTGATGAGGTCATACTGTAAAGTCTGCGTTACTTTGATGAGGTCATACTGTAAAGTCTGCATTACTTTGATGAGGTCATACTGTAAAGTCTGCGTTACTTTGATGAGGTCATACTGTAAAGTCTCCATTACTTTGATGAGGCCATACTGTGTAAGGCTTCAGTTTTCCTCTTTATAATGGGAGTGATGGCTCTGACTCCTCCTCTTCCCCCACTAAAGAGCTGGGCCCTAATCCAGGGCCAGTCTGACCTTAGTGCCTGACCCGCCCCTAGGGCCCATCAACCGTGAGATGCGCCATCTGATCAGCAGTCTTCAAAGTCACAACCACCAGCTAAAGGGGGATGCCCAGCGATACAAGCGGAAGCTGCGGGAAGTGCAGGCTGAGATTGGCAAGGTGAGGAGAGTGCTGCCTGGGAGAAACCTTGGCTGGACCCCAGCGAGTACCATCTCACTGCAGCCCTGTTCTCTCCTGTTCTCTGCAGCTCCGGGCCCAGGCCAGTGGCTCTACGCACTCTATCCCCAACCTGGGCCACTCAGAGGACTCTGGCCTCAGTGCCCCGGCCGCAGGGAAAGAAGAGGGCGGGCCAGGCCCTGTTGGAGCCCATGAGACCAGAAAGGAGATAGCGTCAGTGCCTGTTGCCACCATGACTACCGCCTCAGCAAAGAAGGAGGAACTGGTCCCCTCTGAGGAAGATGCCCAGGCCTTACCCGCCGGGTCCCAGGGCCCCTCTTCCCGGGGCCGAGAACCTGAGGCCAGGCCCAAACGGGAGCTTCGGGAGCGGGAAGGGCCTGGCCTGGGACCCCAGTCTGTAGCCTCAGCACTTTCAAGAGCTGATCGGGAGAAGGCCAAGGTGGAGGAGGCCAAGAGGAAGGAGTCAGAACTCCTTAAAGGTCTCCGAGCAGAGCTCAAGTGAGGCCCTATTCCTGTCTTCTTCCCACGCCTGCCAAGTGGCCTCCAGCCCTGCTTACCGAGTCCTCCTGTGCCCCCCAGGAAGGCCCAGGAGAGCCAGAAGGAGATGAAGCTGCTGCTGGACATGTACAAATCGGCACCCAAGGAGCAGCGGGATAAGGTGCAGCTCATGGCAGCGGAACGCAAGGCCAAGGCCGAGGTGAGGTCAGGTAGGGCTGGTGGGGCCTATAGAGAGGCTACCCCATCGGGTTCTGACCAAAGCAGAGCCCTAGATCAGAAGGAAGGCATGACGAGAGAGCTCCCTCCTCCTGACGCTGTAGGTCGATGAGCTCCGGAGTCGGATCCGGGAGTTGGAGGAGAGGGACCGACGGGAGAGCAAGAAGATTGCAGATGAAGATGCCCTGAGGCGCATTCGGCAGGCGGAGGAGCAGATAGAGCACCTGCAGCGCAAGCTGGGTGCCACCAAGCAGGTGTGAGCCTCCTGTGGTTCTCCTGCTCCTGAACGTCGGGGTTCCCTTTACGCGCTCCCTCCAACCCCCAGTCTCGGGTGCTTCTAGCAGATGGCCTGGTTCCACTCGGTTCTTTGCTCAGTCGTGTTCCTGCGGTTTCCCCACGGCCCTGTCCCTCTGCCACACTCCATCGGTCCTGCCCACACAGGAGGAGGAGGCTCTGCTGTCGGAGATGGATGTGACGGGGCAGGCTTTTGAGGACATGCAGGAGCAAAATGGGCGGCTGCTGCAGCAGTTGCGGGAAAAGGACGATGCCAACTTCAAGCTGATGTCGGAGCGGATCAAGGCCAACCAGATTCACAAGCTGCTGCGGGAGGAGAAGGATGAGCTGGGTGAGCAGGTTCTTGGCCTCAAGTCTCAGGTATGGTCACCCTGGGCTTGTAGGGTGGAGCTGGAGAGCAGTGGCTTCCCAGCACTGAATCTCTACCCCTGTCCCCAGGTGGATGCCCAGCTGCTGACCGTGCAGAAGCTGGAGGAAAAAGAGCGGGCCTTGCAGGGCAGCCTTGGAGGTGTGGAGAAGGAGCTGACGCTGCGCAGCCAGGCCCTGGAGCTCAATAAGAGGAAGGTGAGGCCGGGCAGGGGAAGCAACGTAAGGTGCTGGCTCCCGGCTGAAGGCGTCGGGCTCACGTCTGACTCTCACTGTGTTCCAGACCCTGTGCTGAGGACTTCCCACACTTGGTCAGATTTCAGTCTCATAATAATCCTAAGATGGTTTTTCTTGTTATCCGTGAGGAAGCTAAGGCTCAGGAGGTCCGCTGACTTGCTCAAGAAAGAGTAGAACTTGGATTCGGTGGGTCTCCTTGGCTCTAGGACCCGCATCCTGACTGTAAGATGGGGATGGTGGTTCCTTCACATAGTTGTATTAAACTAAGAAATATCTAGTTCGTGGTAAAGGCTTAAGGTGGATATTGATTTTCAGTTTCTTTCTCCACTGGGCTTTTTTCTCCTCCTGTTTCATTCATTCGTTCAGGCCGGAGGTGGGGAAAATCAGTTAAGGCCTGCGAAACTGTTTGGTCCGGCCCTGCCGAGGCAATGGCAGGCGGGACTCACAATTCAGTAAATCTAGGAGCTTTTTTCATAGCAGCAAAATTGATAGTAAGTGAACGATATTAAACAAATGATGTTATAAATTTCCAAATGGCCTTGGTGAAAAACATTCCCCACCCCTAATTTGGGCAGTGTACATGCCCTTGCTGTATATACTTGACCTCATGCTGAGTGCTGGGGAGCCAATGGGAACAAGAGGGTCCTATTAGAAGAGGGAAATTCCAGTCTTTAGGGACAGAGAGCCAGCCAGTAATCCCAGAGATAAAATAGTGTTATCACAGATCATAGCAAATCTTGTGAAGGATAACTAAGGTGGCTGTATAAAAAAATGTGAAGTGACATTTAAGTTGAGGGAGTTGCAGGAGAGATGTATGTATTGGGGTTGTAGCAGAGGGACAGCCCTGTGAAAGCTTGGAGTCAGGAGAGAGCGTTATGCAGCTGAGGAAAGCGTCCGGAATGAGGAAGAATAGGAGGAGGTATGAGTCCAGAGGTCAGGAGGGACCAGCTCCAGTGAAGAAAATTGGACTTAATCCCAGGAGCAAGAATCACGGGAATGTTTGACACGAGCACCTGTGGACCGTGGTGCCTGACTCCGTAGGCTCAGGACGGTCGCCCCCTTGTCTCCCCACCTCAGGCTGTGGAAGCCGCCCAGCTGGCCGAGGACCTGAAGGTGCAGCTGGAGCACGTGCAGACGCGGCTGCGAGAGATTCAGCCCTGCTTGGCCGAGAGCCGGGCCGCTCGAGAGAAAGAGAGCTTCAACCTCAAGAGGGCTCAGGTGTGCGCACGGTGGGGACAAGGTCACGGGTGGCGGGGGTCGGATGCAGACCCTTGTACTTAGCCTCGCCCCGTCCTGCTTCAGGAGGACATCTCACGACTGCGGCGCAAGCTGGAGAAGCAGAGGAAGGTGGAGGTTTATGCAGATGCTGATGAAATCCTCCAGGAGGAGATCAAGGAGTACAAGGTGGGGCTGGGGCTCAGTTGTGCCCCATCAACCTAGGAATCTTACATGAGGGGCTGGTTGGAGCACTGGTGGGTAGTCTGGGGACCCCAGAAATAAGGTAGGCTAGCAAAAAGTGGGCAGAACCGGTTATGGAGAATCAGACAACTGACCAAGAATTGTACACATACTGCAGGTCAGGCAGAGTGCCTGGCCAGGGGTGGGAGGGCTTGGAACTAGACCTAGTCTCAGAGCTCTTAAAATTGACAGTGTGTTGGAGGAGGCAGCCCAGTAATTCTCCCCTCTGAGTGATCAGCAGTGTGGGAACCCCGGGTGAAGGGAGGCTCTTAAACCGCCCTGGGGGTCAGCAGGCTTCCTGGAAGGACTGTCATCCTAAAGAAACGTGAAGGATGAATCCGAGTTGGCTGTGAGGAATGGGGACAAGAGGATTCTGGCAAAGGGGAAGGCAGAGGTGAGGCCCCTAATTGAGAGAGGGGTGCTGGAGGACAGAGCCGGACCTTGTACTTGGAGGACAGAATGTGGGTTTTGTAGTGACCAGCCAGCCCGAGAACACTGGACAGTGTCAACCTGAAACATTTGACACAGGATCAGACGTGCGGTAAACCAGGTTGGCCACATGGAGACATGCAAGGGTTTAAACCAGAGCGTTGTGGTCTGATTTGCTGTCAGATTTGGGTTAAAGTAGGTAAAGACTAGAGGCAGGGGCGTTTGTTAAGCTATTGTAATCGTTGAGGCAAAACCTGATACTGAGAAACAAGTAGAGGGGCTCAGGAGATACTTAAGAGGCAGAATTGCTTGGATTCAGTGATTGGAGGGAGAAAAATACTGAACTGCGTACCTGATGTGGGAAACTGGGTGACTGAAGAGTGGCATTTACTGGGATTAGGAAGACTGAACAGGAGTAGGGATTGGTGGACAGTGTTCAGAGATGTTGAGCACAAGGTGCCGGCGGGACATCTGGGAAGGCACTCAAAGCAAAAGGGCAGGTCTGGAGAACAGAGGTTTGGGGGTTACCAGCTGAGGCAGAAATAGAAGTGAGGGTCTGTGGCATGAGAAGGGACGGGTCATTCGCCTTAGGAACCTCAAAGCTTTAAAGATGGGCTGGAGAGAGAAGCCTATGGATTGGGGTGAAGGAGAGTGGTGATCAGAGGGAGTTGGTGGGGGAAGCACTTCAAGGAGGAGGCGGTGAGCTGAGCCAGAGCAGCCAAGAGGGCGAATGCAGGGAGTGATGAGAGACGCCCTTGGATGTGGCAGTTTTGATGGGAATGGTTCTGGGACGGGTGGAGGTGGAGGTGAGGTCAGCTGGCAGATGACCTGCACACTCGCTAACTGGAGTGAAGAGAGGGTGGAAGGTGGGTTGCAAACCTTTGAAACAGTTTGGCCTTAAAGGGTGAGAGGCAGCTGCAGGCAGCTGTGGTGGGTAAGGGAAGGATTTCTCAAGAGACGACTTTGGAGCCTGTCAGATGCTGAAGTAGGGCCTGAGGGCTAGAGGTGGTGGTGGCTGGGCTGGGATTTCAAGCCGAACAGAGGAGGAATGTTTGTGAATGCTGAGTTGAGGGAATTCCTGTCTGAGTCGGAGGAGAGACCTGGTGGCAGGTATCAGGATAGGAGCAGAGATTTGTGAAACTCCCAGGGACTCACAGCAGGATCTCTGGACCCAGTTGAGGGTGGAGACTGCATATTTCTAGTGGCTCTGCCATGCCCCCCTGTGACTAGAGTGCAGGTCAAGTAGACATTTGGCTTAAGCCAGGATTGGGGTTTTTCCAGAGAAGAACAGAGAGGAAAGAGATGAAGCCCAAGGGCAGAGGAGCCCAGGCTGAGCCTGTGGGCTGTTGGCCTTGAGAGGGAACATGTGAGCACTGGCCATCACTGCCAGGTTAGAATCCAGACTGCTACTGTGTAGCTTTGAGACCAGCTTCTTCTGAGCCTCAGTTCCCTCGTGCAGAGTGCTCACGCACACCCCCCAGGGCTATGGGGGAGGTGGATGCAGTTGTATATGTGATAGCACGGCCAGAACCGCCTCCTGCTGTCGGCTGGGGTCTGGGCACATCAGGACTGTTCCTGAGCTGATCGGCTACCTTTGCCTGCCCAGGCGCGGTTGACCTGCCCCTGCTGTAACACGCGCAAGAAGGACGCAGTGCTTACCAAGTGCTTCCACGTTTTCTGCTTCGAGTGCGTGCGGGGCCGCTATGAGGCCCGCCAGAGGAAGTGTCCCAAGTGCAACGCAGCCTTTGGTGCCCATGACTTCCACCGAGTCTACATCAGCTGAACCCGTAACTCAGGGGACTTTGGAACACCCATGGACCCTGGGGGCTGTGCCTGCAGCCCCTGCCCATCCAGTTGGTTTGGGGTCTCCAATGCATGCTAGTGGGAGTGGGATCAGCCAAGCTCAGTTCCACCTTTTCTCCAGTCAGAGCTGAGGCACCCACCATGCAGGAAAGATCTGCTGTGAGCACCCAGGTCCATCCCAGCCCTATGGGGGAAATCCCAAGGCTGTGACCCCCATGGAAGAGGAGACTCGCTCACTACCTGCTTACATACCCACAAGTGAGGACCAGGGTGGGCTGGGTTCCAGCCTCTTGCTCCCTGCCTTCCAGGCCCAGGCAGGGCTTCTCCTGTGGAGTCCCCTGGGCTCTTTGG